TCAAGGGTGGTATTGGTGGCTGCAATGGCGTCCTGGTAAGATTTTGCGACCAACAGCCAATCGCTGATGTAAGGGAAAATCTTTATTCCCTTGGTATGTAGACAGGCCACCACTGGCGCCATGCATTTGGTGAATGTCCTGGGGGCTGTGGAGAGCCCAAAGGGGAGGGCAGCGAATTGGTAGGTGGTGTGATGAAATCGGAATCAAAGGAATTTTCGATGAGACGGATGAATGGAGACGTAGAAGTAGGCGTCTTTTAAATTGATGGTGACAAACCAATTCCCCTGTGATAAGAGAGGGAGAATGGAATCAAGTGTTAACATACGGAACTTCTTGTACGATATATATTGATTAAGTCTCTCAGGTCCATGATGGGTCTGATACAGCCATCTTTTTTAGGGACCGCAAAATATCAAGAGAAGAAACCCCCATGCGAGTCAGCAGGTGGAACTCTGACTATTGCCCCTTTAGAGAGCAGGGACAGTATCTCCTGATGTAACTGTGCAGAGAAGAGGGGTAGCCATGATGGAATTTGGCGAAGGGATTTGCAAGAATTCTATTAGATAGCCTTTCTCAATGATGGAGAGAACCCACTTGTCTGTATTAATTCTGCGCCATTCCGGAAGGAATGGTAACAATCTAGTTGAATTATGAAAGTAATTAGGAGTATTGCTTACCCCTATGGAGAGGCTTGCGAAAGGACTGTTTTGGCCCTTGATATTGTTGCTTGGTGAGTGAAGGGTTCGGCTGCGATGGTTGATAGGTTCGATCATGCTGTTGCTGCTTACTGTACCGAAAGGGCTGGTACTGAGGAGAAGACTGGTATGGGGCTTTTTTGTATGCTGATTTTTGGTACCTATACGGTTGGTATGGTATGTACGACTTAGCAGTCTTTCTCATTTTATGGATATTTTCCATACTGTTGTCAGTTTTAGAGTTGAAGAGACCTGTAGCATCAAAATGGAGGTCTTTGATTTTGACTTTGGTATCATCCAAGATGTTAGCAACCCTGAGCCAGGCATGTTATCTGAGGGCTATTGCCGTCAGCATGGACTTGGAAGCGGTGTCAGTGGTATGCTTTGCTGCTACTCTTTGCTGTCTGGTGAGGGTGTAAGCCTCCTTATAGGTATTGAGCACCTCAGTTTTTGAAGGATCGGGAAGAGATTGCAGTATGGGGAGAATTCTTGACCCACAAGTGCTTCTGGTACGCACCCATCGCCGCTTGATAATTTGAATTTTTTATCAGTAAGGCAGCCAATAAATAGAGTTTTTTACCGAGGGAATCAGTCTTCCTTCCCTCTTTATTAACTGGTGTTATGGTGGATCTACTACAGGACTTGTATTGGGTGGCTTCCACAACAATGGAGTTAGGCATAGGATGTTTAGTGAGGAAGTTGGAGTCTGATACATGAGTCTTGTAGTGATGCTGAATTTTGCGAAGGACTTGGAGAGTCAAAGGATAATTATCCCAAGAAGTCTTGACCAGATCGAAAAGTGCTGGTATAAGGCCCAGACTAGGAGGGGAGGACTTGTCCTGTTTCATATTGTGGAAGATCAAGTCCTTTTCTTGTTGCGGTATCTGTGCATCAAGGTGGAGAGTGTTCGCCATTCATATAATGAGCTGAGCATAGGATGTAAAATCCCCCAAAAGTACTTGGGAGGAAGTTCCCATGGTGCCTTCATCAGCAATCGGAGTCAGTGGAGGCTGAGGAGTCATTGTCATGGAATGACTCAGAAGCGAGAGGAGAATGGTGTGGTAGCAGGTCTCTCGGTATAGGGTCAGCATCAGACTTGGTAGACTGAGAGAAAGGTTCCATATCGTGTCCCTCGGGACCGGAGTACAATGTGGTAGTCTGTACCGTAGGGTGGCTCCTGCTGTGTTTGGCACACTCTGGAGGCACAGAATGTGCCGTGGATGTAGGCCTCTTCCGAGACGGAGGGGCCAGGGGTGTAGGCAGGTCCCCTTGGTGCCTTTGATGAACTTCCAATGGTGGAGCCATGGAAGAGTACCAGGATGGATGTGGGCAAGCCGATCCACTGTAGTCGCCTTGATATCCATATCCATGATATGGATAAGGTTGGTACGGAGCAAAGAAAGGGTGACCACATGGTGGTGGGCCCTGCGGATGATACTGATCCTCGATAAGTTGAGGTTGAAAAGGAGAGGCATGCTTGCGTTTGTCCATATGTTTCTTAGGAGAGCATGAGGCGAACTCCAGTTCTGACTGAGTCTCTGTTTCTGCCCGCCCTGAAGATCAAGGGCTAAGAGGGGCAATGGCTGGGCTGGAAGGTTCGATAGCCCCAAAACAGCCCAAGCTTGGCGACATGCTCACGATATCTAGAGATGTTTGGGCTGGAGAAATAGCCTGTTCCTCCGTGTCTGAAAGCCCGACGCCTTCTCTTGAAGAATACTCCAGTAGTATGGGAGCTGCAGGGAGAGGTAAAGGGGCAGCTATGGATGTTTTCTTTGGTTTCTTAGTCTTTTCCTTATCTCTTTTCTTTTTAGCAGGAACAACAGACCACGACGGAGCCTTGGTAGCAACTGGCTTAGATGGTTTGACCGAGTCCTTGGGCTTAGCCGGTAAAGGAGCCGAGGTAAGTAAGGGTTGCTCGATCGGGTTGGAAAAGGATTTAGGCGTCTCTGTGTGAGAAATCGATGTGGGGAAGACAGTCGCTTCCATAGTAAGTCTTTTTGTAAAGAAAAGAACGAAGCTGTTGGAGCCAGAGCTTGATAGCCTGTTTAGAGAGGCTCCTGCATGCGGTGCACAATTGGGCGCAGTGGAATTCCCCCAGGCAGAAGAAACACTGTTGCGCCTGTCTGTTATTGGAAGGTGTAGCATGACCCTTTGTAGGAATTTTTGAAGCACTGGACTCCACTACCAGTGAGTTTGGGGCGGGATGCTTCAGCAGGAAGGATGTCTTGGCCCCATGAATGCGGTAGAGGTTCTCAGTTCTCCTGGACATGGTAGTGGAATTTGCAGGATGTTCCCAATATTCCATGATAAGGTCCAGTAACTCATGCACATAGGAGAGACTGACAGGATGAGACCTCTCCTTATTAATGTCACTGAAGATCAAATCATCTTCCAGTATGGGTGAAGGAAGAGACACTGAGACCAGAGGTACAACCAAGGTGAGTTCCTTGGACTTAGTTTTAGATTTAACCGCAGTCTTCTTCTGTTTCAGCTCCTGGGATGTCGATGGAGCAGAGGACGTCAATGGAGCAGACAAACTGGTAAGTGCTTTCTTAGTTGTCGGCTTTTTCTTAGGTTTTTCCTTAGGTTTCTCCTTGGTAGGCTGAAGAGGAGGTGGAGAAACCACTCTGACTTCAGAATGGACCGAGAATGTAGACTGGGCAGACTCCATGTCCGATGGTTGTGAGGCAGATAGGGTTTGATTCCACAGAAAATATTTCAGACGTTGTTGGTGAGCCTTGAGGGTAGCCTTTGTAAATTCTTTGCAGTGTTTGCAGTGGGTAGTTAAATGAGTCTCTCCCAAACAGAAAACACACAGAGAATGTCCGTCTGAGAAGGGAAGTTTCCTAGAGCAGGACAAACAGCGGCTAAATGGACTTCTTTTAGGTGACATAAGCCAAGAGAGGCTGGAAACAAGCAGTTGAGATGATAATAAAACAAGTCCAGTAGGCGTGTGGCGCCTCAGCGGGTGGTAAATAGGCAGCAATTATAAGCAATTAGAGTACTTGGACAATCGCCAGAGGCAGAAGAGAAGTCAAAACGGTCCATAGTCAGGGCAACAGATGTAGGGAAGTGGAAAAGTCAATTCCAGGTCAAATGTACGATCAAGAAATAAGTTTTTAAAGCAGCTCTAACCGAGAGGTTCCAACTCCGCAGGCAGAAAAAATTGAACTGGGGTTTGGCGGGTGGAGCATGCGCAATACAGAGCAACTCAAACTTTGTTACTTTTCTTATAGCTCTAGAAAGTTCCAAGAGGCCAGCGCAGGCGCTGTCTTAACCCACTGGTGTGGATTCATAGAGGACACATTGAAGAACCATCTAGTTGTAAATATTAAGATTATATTAGCAAGAATGAATCTTTCTTTATAGAGAAAAACACGATTTAATAAAATCTGCCCTGCTACACAGGTACAATTCCAGCCAAGGAGAATAAAAAATAATCTGGTTTGAAGACACAATAAGCACCCATCTGGTTCAGTGCACAAACAGTTTGACTATAAATACAGTATATTTATGTTTTTTAAATAAACTAAAAGCATAGACCAGTCCACCACAGAAGAAACAACTACTTCTCTGTATAGCCCAGAGATACACTTTTCTTTTGCTTCCAGATTTCATTATGATGGAGACTTTCCACTGCCAAAACAAGTCAATCAGTAGTTTCCCCTCTACTTTAGGCTTCACCTTTTCTTTCCCATCTAACTACCACTGTTGTGTTTTCTCATGTATATCAGTAGTATCTTAAATGTAATAGGATAGACACTCACCACATTAAGAGGAGGAAAAAAGATTTTAGCTATGTGCTGATACTTGGACTAACAATGTTCAAGTTCAAATGAAACTAAGGAGTAAAACACTTTCACAGCCAGTATGAAATGCTTTGTAGTACAACTGTGATTTCAGTTAATAAAACAAGACAGGTATGTTACAAAACTATATGCAACTGGGACAGTGAAATATAATATAAAATATTAATGCACACACATAGAACTTACCCATTAGACCTTTTTACGTTAGATGAGCATGGTATACACAAGCATTAGTCTTAATACACATCAGTTCTTTCATTGCTTTAAACATTTTCCACTGAAAAATAAATTTGGTAACAGCTGCTTATTTTGTGCAACTGCATAAATACTAGACTACCTAAAAGTGTGTTTAACTACATAGAACATCTAAGCTGAAAACTGTTCAACCTGAAATGATGGCAAATGACATATTTGATGTCCCAGCTGAGAAAAGTTTGGGGGGGGGTCGATGGAGGGAGAAAAAGAATAGCTAAAACAGTCCACTTTTGCCTTTTACCTCTTTTCTTCTTTTGCTCTCAGTTGCTCTTCCTGTCTCAGAACCTGAACCATTACGGATTCAAACACGCCTGTGGTCAAGCCTGCTAAACTGCGTGGTGTAGAGCGACGCCTTGTTGAAGTACAAGCTGTCCCCTTCTCATCTTCCAGCCCATAGAACCCTTTAGATGTTACTGCTATTGCTGTCTTCTCTCTCAAATGCCTTGAAAGAAAAATCAAATCAATGCACGAGAATATTTTCCTGACCAGCAGTAATCTAGTAACTACACTTTTCAGAAACTTACAAGGCTAGTCTTCAAGTGGTACTGCTGCATGTTTTCTTCATAGCACAATATGTTTCTCAACTAAATAAAGTCTGGGGGTTATGCCATATTTGATATTTCAAATAAGATTCTTTCTTTACAATAGAACAATTGTCTTCTGAAGAGGTAATTTACATATCTAAAGCCAGTTTCCATGTATGTCTTCTGAACATGAATAAAATATACACCTCAAAAAATATACAAAATACTCTGATGCACAAAAATGTTGCAAACTCAATGCAATACCACTTGACCACATTTGTCAAATTTTAACAGTAATTACCAAATGCTCTAAAGCAAACTTTGGAACTATAGTCTCATCTATGCATGTTCACTTCACTGAACTCAGTAGGACTTCCAAATGAACATGCATAGTGCTGTATCTGTAAGCATATCTCTATCTGTATACTGTATTTAACTGCTAGTACCTCTGACTATATCATTGAAGTGTTTCATTTGAGCAAAGGCTACATTAGTCTTTGTAATGTCACCCTATAAAGCATGTTGCAATTTAAAATTGTTATATAGTAAAAAAAAGGAAAGTATTGAAAATGGCTTATTTTTTTCCTGCTATACTTTTGCAGTACTAAAGTAACATGAAACAAATATTTATCTTCTGACCTAACTATATATAATCTCAACAGTTTAAGGCAATTAAAACAAAAGGTTGTTTCATCATCATTCAACATTATTTGGTGCAACCACTGACACAATTCTCTTTTTTCGAACACCATTACTCAAGTAATATTGAGAAAATTTGAAAATTAAAAATAAAATAAAAGTCTTAAAGACACTGCCAAACATTTTCTGAAAATAATATAAAGATATAATATAAATATGTAGATGTAGTTTTAAAACATACCAAAATACCTTTACAGAAAACAACATTCTTCAAAGAATGTTATATGAAAAATAGGATATACAAAATGAAGATATTGCTGATTACTCTAGTTATTTTATTTATTACATTTTCCATACTTTGTATAAGTCAAGTAATCTCATTCTGCACTCAAATTTATTTTTAATTGTAATGCTTTCCTTTTAACAAGACTGGTGTGCATGTATCATACTTTCAGGATAACCAGTACAGAAAGAAATGAAGCCACAATTCTAAACACTCTCATTGGAGTCTATTTCATGTATCCCATCAATCAGTTACAGCAACTTACACAAACCTTACATAAACATCAATAGGATTCTAGCCACTACTGAATTTAATAGCCATACATATAAACTTTATTGTTTCTGGCCATAGACCTTTACAATGACTATTTACACTTCTATTAGCCGCCCCGAGTAGACATGGTCTAGAGGGGCGGGGTAAAAATCAAATAAATAAATAAATAAATAAATATTATTTGTACTTCCAAGATCCTTCTATGAGCACTGCTATTCGGAAGAACAACTAACTACTGGAGGAGAAGAATGCTTGTTTTTTATGTAGCTGAGTAAGAAATCCATTTTCCAAATTGTGAACAAATTTTCGTTTTCTATAGTGTTAAACGCATACTTTCATTTGTCATGGGACTTTAACTGTGCTCAACAGAGAAAGGCTAAAATATGTTCCAAGAAGTTTTCAGAATTTCCATTCAGTTCAGGGACAACTTCTTGCCAGCCAAATGTTTTTTTAAAATATCAAGAAAACATGCAAATTGACGTTAAGATGCACTTAAGTGTGGAAGATTCTCAGATATGAAGGTTCTCTTATTATTTTATATGTCCTTGATTCTATCATGATTTTATTTGACTATATCTGTATTTTAAAGAATTGTGATGGCTTTTAGCTAATACAATAAACTTGAACTGACTGACTTAAGTGGCTTGGTTCAAATATTTTGGCAAGTGTTTAAAAATATCAGGCATCTTATGTTCAACTGTGCAGAGAGTATGAGGAAAAAACATGTGGGAAGGGAGATTTCCTCTTTCAGTAGGTACTGGCAAATAAGTGTTCACTTTTCAGCTGACTTGTAAAACTTCCTATGTGCAATTCTGGAATAATAATTATAACCATGATTAGATAATTTATATATTTCAATAATTTATTGTCATTCTGGGCTTCCTGCAGTGCTTGATCTGAATATCAAGTTTAGATCTGAAGGTGGAGGCAGACACTAAGAAGAAATTCTCTACATCAAGCTGCATTGCCATTGAATCCCAAGAAATTCAAGAACCAATATGAAAAGAAGAGACACTGAAGAATGATGATGAAGATGCTAATGTGAGCAAATCATGTCTAAGTTGAAAAACTAATTCTAGATTTTGGATAATTTTTTTCCAATTTAATGTCACCAAAGGCCAATGCAAAGCAATAATTTCTGCTATAAACAGAAATAAGCAGAGCGATGTTGTGTTTGGTTCAGTCAACCTTTTCCAGACTACTCCATTTGTGATGAAATGGAGTTGTTAACCTACCAAAGTGTAGGCTCAGTCTTGGAACTGTTTTGAAGATTGCTTTGATTTAGGATTTATTTTCTCTAAAGGGACATTTTCATTACATAAGGAATCACATGCAGAGAATCAGCTCTATATCTGTACATAAGACAATTCAATTAGCAGTTTTTCTCCTGGAGTGCCTAGAGATGGGCACAAACTGACAGTTTGGACGATGACCAAGTAAGTGTTCCACAGTTTGGTGCCCTGACCAATTGGAAACAATGCCCTGGCTTTCCTGCCCCACCTCCTCTTGGCATTGTTTTTGAGTAGGCACCTGCTGGGGGGACATGGCCCCAAAATGTGGAACACTGGTTTGGTCATCATTCGAATCAGTATGAACTACCAAACCAGTGGTTTGTGCCCATCTCTAGGTCTATCAAGTCTGCTTCATATTTACTAGACAGCTGATTGTTTTTTTTAACTCTGGTACAAATACTATTCTGGTATCAGACACCTATAATGTTATAGCAGACAAGACTTAAAAATATGAAATTAGCGACTCATACAGAAACCCTAACATGAAATTACAGAACTAACTGCATGGCTGGAGTGTGGGTGGGGACTGATCATTTCAAAAGAGTTTAGTATGTTTTGTACAATGGTGAATTTAAAAGTAGATGGCTATATTAAATAAATGTTCTACCAAATTTATGGACTTCTTAAGTAAGAGAGATAAAATCAAATCTGACAATAATGAAGGTGAGATAAATCAGGGATAATATGGTGGATCCAGATATGAATCAATTTATAGAGAAGCTGACGGAATTCTACAAAGAAAGAGGTAGAGAATTTGCCACACTGAAGAATATGAAATTCACAAAGTTTCAGAAGCATTTGAAGGACTATGGAGAAAGTTGAATATTTACTGTAGCTGGAAAAAGACTACTAGTAGTAATAAAAAGCAGCCACATTCAAGTTTATTCAAGTGATGAATTAGATAAGGAAAATGAGTTTCTTTTGCAATGGTGCAGAGGGATCCTTCTCCTCATTCAGTAATGAAAAACCTTCTTTAAGAATCCACCTGGCTTGCGGTCAGTGGGAATCCAAGACTTGAAGAACAACAGCAACAAAATGAATCTGCATAATTATCTGATTTTTACATGGTATTAGGATGCAGTACCTTCTGTAAGAATTGCAGCATAATTCTTGCTCAAAGTACAAGTGCTAACAGTATTCAGAAAGCTTTGCAGCTTGTGGAAGTACATATGGTAAAAGACAAAATCCCAGGAGTCCTTTTTCTTCAGGGCAGAGAGGACATTACTAAGCAAATGTTATTTAGTGATATAATTAAGTCACTGCTGCAACAGCTAGAACAAAGTGCAAATGTTGAAATCAAAGAACTCTGAGCAATAAACACATTCCTGAAGTGATATGGACTAGAGATGGAGTGAAATTTTTTTTAAAAGGCAATTCATTTTAATCCGTTATTCGTCAAGGTTAATAGATCAATTAATATGAATATATGAATATTCTTTGACAAATCAATGAATTGATCCGTTGATTTGTCTGCACTTGAAATGGCTATAACACAGGCCCCAAACCACCTACAGACACCACATTTGCAAGGGGGCTTCCTCAGACGCGTTTCTACAACTCCTGAATGTTTGGTGAACATTGGATCATGGACCCCCGAGTTATCTAGTCACAAAGATGAACACTCCAGGAAAGCTCCCCCAGGTACTTAGAGACTCCAGAATCACAACAGAGCTTCCTATGTCTTTCCCCAACACACCTACCAACTTTGGTGAAGTTTAGATATTGGACATCTGAGTTATTCACCTACAAATTGGGTCCCTCCAGTAGAGTTTACCACACAGCACAGAAGCCCATTCTGCCTACTGGCCACCAATCAACTAATCAAAAGCCAAAAGGAAACCACACACACACACAGCCAGCCACCCCAACAGCCTACCCCAACATCCCCTTCCTTTCCCTACCTTAGCCCCCGCCCCACTCCCACCAACACCCCCTTACCTTAATAGCTGCGAAGGCCATCAGGCCTTCACAGCCACAGTGTGTAAAAAGGGAGACTGGCTGCCTTTTGCAAATATGGCGGTGGTGGCTTCATTTAGGGTAGGGAAGCTGCAGCTATCATCTTTGCAAAGGGGAGCCTGGATTCCCTGAAGGCAGGCTAAGAGAATCCAGGCTGACCTTTGTAAAGATGGCAGCTGCAGCCTCCCTACCCTATATGAAGCCACCACCGCCATCTTTGCAAAAGGCAGCCAGTCTCCCTTGTTACATTCGTGGCTCCGAGGCCAGAAGGCCTCAGCAGCAGCGATTAAGGTAAGAGGGTGTTGGTGGGGATGGGGTGGCGTCGTGTGGGGCCTAAGGTAGGGAAAGGAAGGGGGTGCAGGTTAGGCTCTGGTATTAGATGGCTGTGTGGGGTGGTGGCTGCCTTTCTGCCGCAGATTAGCTGATCAGCGGCTGGTAGACAGAATGGTTTGTTTTGGTTTTTTTAAATAAAGGA